TGATGATGATGATGATGATGATGATGATGATGATGATGATGATGATGATGATGGTGATGGTGATGGTGATGATGATGATGATGATGATAATGATGATGATGATGATGATGTTGATGATGGGGAAGGTGATGATGATGATGACGGTGATTGGTTTGTTTTTTTTCAGACATTTCTTCTCTGATCGCATCCTGGTGCACAAGGAGGTAGACACAGCCTTGTTTTTCTCCACGGGTGGAACGTGGAAGAGGATAAGGTAAGATGTACCGTACTTTTTGGTTCTACTATTATCTATTTGTGGTGGCCGAATTTTGCTTTTCAAAAGGCTTTTTAATAGCTGCATCGATCGACATACGGTTTTCGCCGAAAGATTCTTGAAAATATTCTCCAGATCATGACGCCCTTCTTTTTTTCAGTTTTGAGACACTTTTGCTGCAAAAAGCTAAATGTCTTTATTTCGCCGATCGCTTTTGTAGGCCGACTCTTCTGTCTCTGTACTTTTAGAAAATTCGTTGCGGGAGTGATATTTTGCGAGGCGCCTTTTGTTTTGAAAGTATAAATCTAGATCTAGACCTTCTAATCTTTTGCATCCCTCAAAATTTATTACTCCATTCCAGTAGAGTGTAAATATGGTACACCATTGACTTTCAGTTGATGTTAATGCACCGATCATTCCTTTCATCGAAAGGGGGTCCAGCTTGTAGTTTCTATTTTGCGCTCTTCTCCGTGTGACAAGATCGCTGGTTCTTACCTATACACACGTTAGGTCACGGAGATAATATACTTCTTGCCTCCTAGATCCTCTTGTAAGAATGTTTACAGTCCACTAAAACTAACCACCAGTTGGTGTCTAATACGGGGTGCCCACTACGGCTGGATCGGGCCGATCGCCCGACTCGATCGCCTGAAACTGAAAACAAACACGTTTGTTTTTGAGGCGATCGAGTTGGACGATTGGCCCGATCGGCCGATCCCATCCATAGTGGGCACCCCGTATAACCAGACTAACCACAACCGTCTCCCACTAGGTACACGGTACCAACGATAATACATAACAAGATGGTTCACTCAGCCAAAAAAGTGTCCGCCGGAAGTCCGCTCTTTGCTTCAGATGGCGCAGCAGTCTGTTTTAAAGCTCTCTTTGGTTTCTCCAGAAGAAGAATAGGAGTAGCACCCCCTTGCGTGCGCAGACCCACTGCTGTTCATCACTCTGTTCGTGTTCGTTCACTGCGGAGTTTTAGGTTTTTAGAAATTTTAATGACCTCTCGCCTTTCATTTTAAAGTCAAATTAAACTTAGAAAACAGTCACCCCTTCCTCCGGAAAAGGATTTTTTGTCACCGTAACCATTTTCAAAAAGCGTTCTTCCGAAATTTGAATTCTTATTTATTCAAAAACGTGTTAGTTTCACTTTGATTTTTTGAACACATGTAAGGTAACTGTTCGCAAAGGGTGCGCATTTCCGAGTCCTCTGTCAAACATCCATGTTCCTGAATGTGCTTTTTTTTATCACAAATCTATCCTTTCTTATTTCTCTCCTTTACAAGATAAAACATCTTTCCCTCACTTCTCTATTACTCTATCACAAATCCATCCTTTCTGCTTTCCCTCTCTGTCAGCTAATCCATT